AATAGTTAGAAGGCCTCGGGATGAGGGATGCATGCATGCTCGACTGCCTCGCTCTGAAATCCATTGTTATGCCACCAATTGCCTCTGTTTGCACTTGATTTGATCTCTGAAAATTGCACAAACTTCCAGATTGCTTCTACTCCAACACAGGGACCCTCTGGTGGGCTGTAGACTAGAAAAACTGGCTGGCCGACCACCCTTACTGGTCGGTCGACTACTTCTTGTGGTCGGTCGACTAGTTGATTCTCCAAACTCCAGTTTTGCTGCAACAGAGAACAACAAGGGGCATAGCAGTGTATTTGCAAGATATGTGTGCACAACCACCCTCCCTATCATTTCTCAAGCTCAAGGGAGCGCGGTACTCGACTCTCGAGCCGCCAACCAAGCATTGCAATGCACGATGGCCGAGAAGCCAAATTTGCACAAGTTAATGTCAATGAATGCACAAATAATACATAAGGGCCTCCACCTATATCATGCTCGATCAAGAGGGTCGACGACCGAGAAATGTGACACGTTTCATCACTTCAAGTATGAAATGTCCCACATTTCTCGTGTTTGGATTAAACTCCGATCCAAACACATGCAATGCATCACAAACATGTTATCTTGACATGTTTTACTTTGATTCATTTTGTTTACTCATTTTAGATTAAGTCCAAAAGTGAGAAGTCCTCTAATTTGAAAGACGAACTAAGCCACAAGCTTCTTGAGCATGAAAGAAGCATCATGCCCTTGAGCATGAACGCCTCAATTTCGTGCTCAAACCAACAACGGGCTTAAGACCTCTTTCAAAGTGATACAACAAATGAAAGATGGCATGCAATGGAGTGCAATGGCATGTATTTCAGCTCTGAAATGACATGCTAAACAACATCAAATCATGCAACAATGCATGCAACGCATGCTAAGAGCCGAAAGCATTGAAGCAAGCAAAGAGCATAACACTATAGGCATGCAATACTAACCACAAATGACCAAACCAACCCCGGACAGAGGTTAAACATGCCAAAACAGTGGCCTAATCATGTTGAAAATGAAGCACCAAAAGCTACAACAACATGCTCATGTATTGGCTCGCAAGCTAGGCATTAAACACAACTCTCAAACACAATAAAGGCATGAATTATATGAGAGTATGACAAGGCTATATACTCTGAAATAACATGTTAAATGGTGCCACACCATGCAAACATCACATGCACAACATGTTAAAAGCCCCGAAACTCAAAGCTAGTCAAGGCCCTTTACACTACAACCATATTAAGCAATGCTCAAATGACCCTAACCATTCAAAACAGATCTAAGGCAGGTCAAAATAGTGGCGAAAACATGCTAAACTTGTAGCATAGATGGCAAGAACAATAAGCTCATGTATTGGCTCACAAACAAGGCATAATGCTCAACTTTTCAAAAGCATTGAAAGAGTGATTTAAGTGGAAGCATGGCAAAGATATAAGCTCTGAAATCACCTTCCAAATGATTCCATATCATGCACACATCACAAATATAGCATGCTACGAGCCTCAAAACTCAAGACTAGTGAAGCCATTTACACTATAGCTATACAAAGCAAGCCCCAAAGGACCAAGATAACTCAAAATATTCCTAAAGCATGTCAAAATAATGCCAAAACATGCATGGAGTATAGCCAAGACAAGCTAGCATGAAAGGCCAAAACACCGAGTACACTAGGCTAATTGGCAAGATTGCACTACACGTGCCAAAACCAAGCAAGAGGTGACTCCACCAACCAAAATAATGGTCTCCAATCAACCATCCACAACAACAAAAGCCATCAATCAAGAAAGGACTACCATTTGGTCAGGTCAACAAGTTGGAAGTTTGTTCATCTTTCATCAATCAAATTTGCAAAATTTGTACCTCACAGTCTAATGCTGGAAATTGTTTGGTGTTTGGCATGTTAGGGTAGGAGAAATTTACAATGTGCACCCTTTCAATGGCACACATTGTAAAAAAGTTATGATTTTTTATGATGAATATTATGATTGTTTGTGATATGTGTTATGATATTTTTTAGTAAAGTTATAAATAGCGAATTTATGATTTGCATCCTAAAGTTTGAAATGATAATGTTATGACATTTTGTGATTTTTGTTATGACACTTTGAGATTTTATTATGACATTTTTCAATGAAATTTTTTTTTGACTTTTGTAGAGAAAAAATTATGATATTTTGGGTTTAAGTTATGAAATTTTGTGAAAAAATTATGAAAAACATACTATATGCACTTTTTTGCTGTATTGTTCGATGTTTGTCATTGGTTTAGGTATAATATATTTTTATATATTATATTTGTGGAGACCTAATCTAATTTGGTAACAATTAGGATTTGATTACAAATCCCTAGATTCACAATATATATATATATATATATTGTTTTGTGTGTACCGCAGGAGAAGAGTGCAGCGGCTGTTTTTGTATGTGTGTGTGCTAGATGATCATCTTTGGTAATCATCATTGTAGACAAGCATGCTGCTGGTTTGATTTAGTGGTAGGATTTCAGCAATCTTTGTGTGGGTTGATTTGGAGGATTATTTTGGGACGTTTATAACTCTGGTTCTGAAGATTTTGATTCTTCTATTTGGTGAGGTCTTTCCTCTTTGTTTATTTGTGATTATTTGGAATTCACCTAAGGGTGGTTTTGTGAGACCATTAGTGTCTCGTTTGTAATCGTTTGGAATCTTTTTGGTTGATAGTGGAATCAGATTTCGATCCCGTGGACGTACCTCACATTGAGGGAACCACGTAAAAATTCTTGTGTTGCTTTTGATTTAATTTTTCCGCATTAGTTTTTATTCCCATTGATTGATTTACTTGTGGGGAATCACATATTTTCCCTAACAGTGAGTAATTAATGATGATCAACATTCAAACCAAATAATTCGTTCGACACACAACTACCAAACAATTTGAACCCATTCAATTCTATATATCTGAAAGGTAAAAATCAAATAAAGTTTTATATTTTAGAAGTTAACTTTCGAATGAATGAAATAATTTTGGTTGTTGATTTTTGAAAAGGTTGCACCTATCCAGCATTGGTTTGCCAAATGAGGATCGTAAAAAAATAAAAAAATAAAAAAATAGCAACTTTTACACATAAAAAAGCACATTTTCATTGATGCATTGTTTGTAAACACATATATTCTTCTTCAAATCTGAACTTTCATTATTTTGTAAATCTTTCATCACATAAATTAAGAATGACAGAAGGAGTAATAGAGTACAACAATGGGGGGAGTGAAAAACAATGCCAAGAACAATGTAGGTCTTAGGAGAAATTTTTGTATGCCAATAGAGTACTTCCACTAATCACAAATGTATATGTCCCCTATTATTTCCCAAACATCCAACATAAATGTAGTGGACCTTACTGTCAAAACCAATCACAATAGTAGAAGGTACCACATGGCATATACCCTATATGCATACAAAAATCACTCGGGTCGTAGCGTGATGTATTCTAAGTTTTTATTTATTTTTTATTTTTTTATTTTTAAGATATGTATTGAGAATTTTTTTTCTAAATGATGTGTGTAGAGAAAGCTTAGTTTTAAGAGTTGGTATGCATTGATGTCTATAGTGATCATTTTGTTTAATGGTAAAATTATAATAAAAATTTAATTCATTAAAATTGTGTGCACAAGGAATAAATAGTGTGTAGAAATAGAATAACCCAAAAATTACTCTTTATAAAAAAGTTATAATACCTGAACTACCCATCTAAATACAAAACAAATAAAATAAAAACATACATGTATTGTCCTTATAAACAAGAATGTGACAAGCTACTAACGACATATTGGTAGTTAGTCTTAATGAGTGACTGTTTTACATTCTAGGGGTTAGGAGATTAAAGTTTTGAAGCAAGGAAGGTTTTATTTGAACTTTTTGAATTGATGATAACAAACATTATTAATCAGTGTTACAAGCTACTATAATTTTAACTGGATTAATTGAACTGCTATGTTCGTTGAATTAGAGCTTTTCGAATGCTGGATTCTTGAGCAAAGTAATGGTTTCTTTTGGAGTTCCTTCACTTTCAAATAATTATTTCTGCACTATATTAGTCTATTACTAGTAGTCTTTTCAATGCAAAAAATTACGTAATGGCTCGGAAATCAAGAAGAACAGGTGAAGTGGAGATTTTAGGGTGCTGGAACTTAAACATTTTCACAAAAAAAGAAAAAGAAAAAAGAAAATGGTGGAATGATTCTTAATTGAATTGGCTTCAATTGCGTTAATATATGTTTGTTGTGGTATATTTAAGGACTTGTTCACTAGTTATTCACATGCAGTGAAGCACAAATCTGGAGAATGTTTATTTGGACTTGCTTCACTAGTTATTCACCTAAGGTGTACTGCTTTTTGCATAAAGGCAGTTTCTATCTCTTAGTTTTCCTTTACTTTATGAATTTTTGTTTCACAAGCAAGTGTTTTGTTTGAATCCCAAGGTAGTTTTTTTGTTGTTCCAAAATTTGTTTATTTTGGATTTAGACATACATACCTTCTGTGTGTACTACATGTTTTGAATTTACGCATACATACCTTCTTGCTAACAAGTGCATCTAATCTAAGGCAAGAAATAGACACACACACAACAAAAAAAAAATGTGAAGAATACAAGGCATTTTTCACTTTTTTCAAAACACTTTTCATTGTTTTCAAAACTTTTTATAACCTTTTTACCTTTTCTAAAACACTTTTTGCTGACATTGGCTGGTTGTGTCTTGGACCAGGTACCAATTTTGGTACTATTGGATCTGCCTGGACTTCTCTTTTTCTCAACTTACACGCTTCTTGTCCCCTTTTTTTGGACAGAGATATATCACTAGGCAAGTTAAAGTTCTATATTATTTTGTACCCCAAGTAGTGATCTATGATTCTAAGGCTAATCCCTCACTAAGTGTGGATTTGTGCTATCGATTGCAGTTTATCTATGTAATTTGGGTTCTTTCATGCTTATCAATGGTTAGGCAAGAAGTCTACCATAACTAATTTCCCAGCACAGCATTGAAACTGATATCAAGTTTAATGGTCCATATATATGGTTTTAATCCATGAGAAAGAAAATAGATTCATTTTATAAAACAAAAAATATATTGAATTTAAGTATTTGGTTTCGGCAATTGTTAATTGCTTTTGTTGTTGTGTGTTTGCACTCAAATGTATGTGGGAGTTTTCATTGTTTTTTTATTCTGGCTGTCTAATGGTTCATGGACTTTTTTTGTGGGTTGTAACAACACATCTTATGATTTACTCTTTGGTGTTTAGGGCAAGAAAAGAAAAGATATGATCTGCATTGCACTTGCTGATGACACTCGTGATCAATCCAAGATTAGGTTGAATAATGTTGTTATTACTCCATTCAAGGTACTCTCCCTCTCTCTCTCTCTCTCTCTCTCTCTCTCTCTCTCTCTTCTTTCTCTGTTTCTTCTCTGCCTTTGTTTCTTCTTGTTTTTCGGTTTGAATCTGCTCCTAGAGTAATGTTAATTTCATTGTTGTTTATAGCATAGCTAAATGAGTTGGAGTTTGGAAATTTCCATCGTTTGTTAGGCTTTTGCAGTCCATGTCATATTGGAATGTATTTTACTATTTCATAACTTAATCTCAATGACATATGTCTGGCTTGGAATGTAAAAAAATTAGAGGAATGTAAGTTAAACATATACTTCGGTGTGGGTACGCACTAGCTTGTCAATGAGTATGATAAGTAGCAATTGAATTTTCTTCTTATTGATTCACAACTGACAAGAATGCTTGGGTGAGGAAACAATGAAACGATAAGAGGCAATCAAAGCTAAGCTAAAGACTTACTTGTCTTGACTTTTCTCATTTCCTTATTAGTGGATTAAATATTAAATGGTAAATTTGTTTCCTGATGGACATCCTTTTTGAAAAATCTAGAAATCCCCTAGATGTTGATTTGTGATTATGTATCAATTTTAAGCAGAATATAACAATCACAATCAAACAATCAAGACAAAGAGACACAACGATTTAACGTGGAAAAAACCACAATTGGACACCTCCAACTGTGATAAAAAAACCACGGGCAACTGCCACAAAACAATACACTAAGAAGAATTAAAGGAATTACACAGGTATACTCTCAATTATCTAGCGAATCCACAACACCTAATTGAACCAACCTCTATGTGCCTCTTCCAACCCTATCTTCACCACGGAATTGTCTTTCTGATGAGCCACTCCGGATTCCACCAAAGCTTCAGGCTCGAATTCTTCAGAATCCACAACTGAAGAATAACTCTCTCTTTTGTGTATAACAAACAAACCTTTGATGTACTCTCTTTAAATCATGAGTTGAAGACTCAATAAAAACATCAAAGAAAACAAACAAAATATCCCCAGATATAAACCTTAAGAACCAAAAAGAAGATCTGGAGGACTTCAATCAATCACTTAGTTTTGGGAGAAAACCAAGTATTTATAGAGAACCAAAAGTAATCCTAGATTGGGAAGAAAACAAACTCCTTGAGAAATCCGGATTCTGAGGCTCGCTCGAGCGAAGATTTGCTGGCTCGAGCGAGGAGTGTATTTTTCATGATTTCTACTAGTGCCTTGGCTCGAGCGACGGATCCTTGGCTCGAGCGAGGAATACACTTTTTCAGGTTTTTGTATGGACGCAATCCTTGGCTCGAGCGCGCATTCCTTGGCTCGAGCGAGCAAGCCCTAGCTC